GCCATAAATAGTTCGACACAATCAACACGAGCTAAAGGAATAAATTCCATAAGAAAATACTAAGCTCTTAATCAAAAGTCAAAAAGTCAACTCAAAAGTTGGCCCCGGGCCCATGTCTCGAAATCCGATAAAATCATAAAATTTGAAAATCATTCAACCACGAGTCCAACCATACCAAATTTACCAAAATTTGACACCAAATCGTCACCCAAATCCCCAAATTAACTCTCCAAATCCCTAGCCTCAAACTCCTAAATTCCACCTCAAATACACACAAACAATGTGAGAAATTCAATGGGGAAACAAGATTATCGAATACAATTGAGCACAAGTGACTTACCATAAGAAACCCCTCAAAAATCGCCCAATCACGAGCTTGAAATGTTCAAAATGAAGAAAAATTACAAACCCTTGATTTAAGGTTCTGTCCAGCCTTTTCGCTTCTGCGGAAACTTTACCGTATCTGCGGCATCGCAGAAGAGACAATCCCTCCGCTTCTGCGGTGAACCAATAAAGCTGGGCCTCCGCTTCTGCGATCCTTCCCCCGTATCTGTGCAATCGCAGGTACAGAATTCCCATCACACCTGCGGATACTTCCTCCACTGGCTAACTCTACTTTTGCGCCCATCACGCCGCATCTACGACCACGCAGGTGCGAAAAATCCTTCGCACCTGCGATCACAATCTTTCCCACTCCTTGCCTCATCTGTGTTCCTTAGCTTGCACCTACGACCAAAGTTCCGCAGGTGCAATTGCACCAGAAGACTCCTAGCTTCAGCAATCATCCAAACTCCAAATTTGATCCGTTAACAATCCGAGCTCCACCCAAGGCCCCCGGGACCTCAACCAATTACACCAACAAGTCCTAAAACAATACAAACTTAGTCGAGCCCTCAAATCATATCAAACAACATCAAAAACATGAATCGCACCCCAATTCAAGCCTAATGAAGACTAAGGAATTCCAACTTCTATAAACGATGCTGAAACCTATCAAATCACGTCCGATTGACTTCAAATTTTGCACACAAGTCACAAATGACACCACGGACCAACTCCAACTCCCGAAACCCCAATCCGAGCTCGGTAACCACAAAGTCCACTCTTTGTCAAACTTTTAAATTTCTAATTTTTCCCCCTCAAGCCTAATTCAACTAGGGACCTCCAATTCACAATCCGGACACGCTCCTAGTCCAAAATTACCCAACGGAGCTAACCATCAAAACTCCATTCAGAAGTCGTTTACTCATAAGTCAACATACAATAAACCTTTCCAACCTAAGCTTCCAGTCTTGGGACTAAGTGTCTCATCTCATCCCGAAATCTCTCCGGTCCCGAACCACCTACCCCGATAAGTCACATCACAACTGTAAAGCATAAAATGAGTGGTAAATAGGGGAACAAGGCTACAACTCTCGGAACGACCGGTCGGGTAGTTGCATCAATTATCCAATCATAACAACTTGAAACAAATATTATAATTACTCTCACCGAATCATAAGAAATGAGTTTGAAGCATTAGGATTACCTTCTTGAAGCTTTTCCCCAAAATTTTATGTTTGGGAAATTTGGTGTCCTTGAACAACTTGAAAGATTTCTAGGGATTTCAAAGATTGAATGATATTAATACTAGTGTTAATAGGATGTTATTAGCTTAAAATATCCATAAAAACTCACCTTGTACTCTTAAGTAATCCCTAAGGCGAATCCACCATAAAAGAACCAATGCCTAGCTCCAAAAAATCCTCAAAAATGGTTGTTGCCCGTCACTGCCTTATAGGCATAGGTGCTTCAGCGAGTTGTACCTTGCGTTGTGCAGGTCGTACCCGTATCCCAAGTTTTTTCCCTGTTGGACACCTTTTACTAAAACATCCATAACTCCATGTAAAAATGTCTAAATAGTGAATCGTTAGAACCGTTGTAAACTAGACTCAAAAATCTTTAATTTAATAATTAGTTCATCATACAACTCTATATATATTGGGAGTTATGCTTATCTAAAATTAAGCCTTGTGTGTACGCATTTGATACTTTAGTCCGTCGTATGGTTTCCAACTTAACTTGGACTTAGGGCTCTTCTTAGACCCCACATCACTTATAATATGCCTCGTACACTTATTATCATGTCCAATTGATATCCATCATATTAATAGTCCTCGTCTCCACACAAAATAATATAATTAGCACACATCAACTTTTTTAATAGTGCTTAAGCACTTCGAAATTTTCTGAGGTGCTACACATGCAGTGCCAAAAAGGCTTGCTTCATTGCTTCAGTAAATCCTTTACCTAGGATTTTTTCTTTGTTGGAACCTTTTTCTCTTATCTTAGTAAGGCATGTTCTCTCTCTTAGATGCATTTTTAGAGTTCTTCATGAACCTCTTGAATTTAGCAAACATTGCTAGGTCGGGATCATCACTGTCAAATTCATCTTCCTCAGTTGCTTTAAGGACCAAGACCTTATCCCTCTTTGGTTTTTCCTTACGCAATTCTATCTTTCTCATTTCATGAGTCTTTAAGTTTCCAACCAACTCATCAAGTGATATCTTGTCCAGCTCCTTGGCTTCCTGAATTGTTGTGACTTTTGATTCCCATGAAGTTGGAAGGATCCTTAAAACTTTGCTAACCAACTCTTCTAAGGTAAACACCTTTCCAGGTGACTTCAGTTCATTAGTTATTATGGTAAACCTAGTCATCATCTCCTGGATGGGCTTAGACTCCTTCATGGAGAAGAGCTCATAATTTCTCATAAGTAGTTCTATCCTTAATCTCTTCACTTGGTTTGTTCCTTCATGAGTAGTTCAGAGTGCATCCCAGATCTCATTGTATTAGAGCAAGCAGATATTCTGTTGTACTCATCAGGACCAAGTCCACAGATAAGGATTTTCTTATCCTTTGCATTCTTTTCCATCATTCTGAAATCTGTTGCCACAAATTCAAAGGGATCCTTAGGAACTGTTTCATTTTGCGCATTTTATTTAGTAGGAGTTAATGGACCTTGGTTCACTATGATCCATAGTTCATAGTCTTCAGCTGTCACAAAATCTTACATTCTTGCTTTCCACAAACTGTAATATTTTTCATTGAACATGGGTGGTCGGGTAGTTGATTGTCCTTCATTAATTTCGGGTGGAACACTCATTTTGCTTCTAAGATCCCTCTAGGTGTTAGTCGTGTGTGTGAGAGAACCTGCTCTAATAACAATTTTTAGTTTGAGTGCTCTTATGAATTACCAAAGAACTTGGTTCTCTACCGTATCCCTCAAACGTGAAGTAAAATAAGCAGTAAAGTAAAAACAATAATTTTATATGAAAAATCACCCGGCTCAAAAAGTGCAAAAATCACGACCTACTGCGTGGACTTTCAACTTCAACTCTACTAGAACAATGAGCTAAAATATATCGATTATAAGATGGTAATTCAATACTCTCCAGTACTCCTACTATGACTATTTGATTTACAAGATACTCTAACTTGTAAAGCAAACACTCACTCCAACTTACTAATTGTTTGTGACACTTTGATTACAACTCGATTTCCTAAAACACATTCACTAGGCAGACTCTAGAAGAACACAACATTGGTACTCGACTAGAGTGTGTAAAATATAGTTCTTCAGTTGATGTGTGAAAGGATGTCCTCAGCAGTCCAGATGGATAGTATTTAAGTGTCTTTACTTCAAAATCTTCTAGGAGTCATATGCATAGTCAGCTTCTCGTTTGATATGATTCCTACTGTTCCAAGTACTCCATAAGTCTTGGGACTCTTGCCTCTCATTATTTATTCATATCTTCTTGAGCAACAACCCTTATCATGTGTAGTAGCCTTCTTCAACCAAACTCGGACATGGGTAACTTTGAGATAAAGTTCTTATCTTGCAAAGATGTACAATCGTCAACTATGAGGAGCTGGTCCTTCGCCTCGAGGAGCTGGTTCTTAGAGCAGTTAAGCAGCTATGTTGAGGACCTGGGTTTTTAAATATTGCATCTGAACAAACTTTGTTAATCATCAAAATCTCAATACTCAACAATTTTCAATCTTTTTTTTTTCGTAACAAATGTGAATATTACCATTACAACCAGAAAAACATTTTTTACAACCTATGAGCCTCTAGTGTCTGAAACAGATACAGACACCAGATCTCCAAATATATCAATATTATCTATTTACATATTCTCTGAAACAACACTTTGCATTTCCTATCTCTTTTTCCCCTATACACTATCTCCACTCTGTCTAGTATCTCTTTCCTAATTTGATCATTTACAAGATCTATGCTCACATTTACTTTCCTGAATATTTTCCAATTCCTTGCTTGCCAGGTATAATATAGCATGGCATCCCGTACAGCAGCTACTATTTCCTTCTGAACTTGGCTCCATCTTCTTCTTCGGATCCATTTGATCACCTTACTAGCTTCATTATTATGAATTTTGATGTCCAACCAGCTACTCAATTTTTCTTTGAGGCCTGCTATCCATTTGCATTGTCCAAAGAGGTGAGTCTGAGTCTCCACCTGATTCTGATCACATACGCAACATTTGTGATCTTCTACTTTTAACTGCATTCTCTGCATCCTCTCTTTGGTTAGCAATTTGTTTTGACATGCCAACCATACTATAAATCTCTGTTTATGAAGTATTATTTTACTCCATATTAGCTTTACTTCCCTTGTCTTAGATAGAGCCCCCAACATATGCTGATAGCTCTTAGACATAGAGTATTCTCCTGTTTTTGACAGTATGTATTTATCTCCTTGATACCATCCTGCCATTTGAAGCTTAAGAGAGTTTAATTTCTTCCAATACCAGCTACAGTCTACTGGTGGTTGGTGTTCCCATATATTTGTCTTATCCTTTATGTATATACTGTTAACCCATTTGACCCATAGTGTGTCTTTTTTCCTAGCTAATTGCCATAACAGTTTACCTACTGCAACAATGTTCCATTTACAACAGCTTTTGATGTTTAAACCTCCATTTTGCTTAGGAATACAGACCCTATCCAGCTACTAGGTTAACCTTTCTTTTGTCTTCAGTGGCACCCCACAAGAAGTCTCTGCATTTCTTGTCCACAAGCTTTACCACACTTTGAGGAAGAATAAACACAGCACTCCAGAAGTTGTATATAGAGAATAGAACAACCATTATTATTTGCAATCTCCCAGCATATGATAGTTGCCTTGTGTAAGCTGTGATTTTGCTTGTGATCTTATCAACTAGTTGCTTGCAATCCATCTTATTCCACTTCCTTGATGTAAGAGGAAGGCCTAGGTACCTTATAGGAAAGGTCCCTAACGTGAACCCAGTAATCTTCAGCATATTCTGCCTTGTCTCCTCATCAACCCCTGCTACAAACATGCTAGATTTGTCTATGTTTGCTTCCAACCCTGTGGCATCACTGAAATGCTGTAATGCCTCCATCACTCTAGCTATGGATTTCAGATTTTCTTTGCAGAAAATCATTAAATCGTCTGCAAATACTAAGTGAGTTAACTTTGTTTCCTTACACATGGGGTGATATCTGAAGTCAGGGAGTTCACTCATCTTACCAAGAACCCTTGACAGATATTCCATTACTAGAACAAATAATAGGGGTGAGATAGGATCCCCTTGGCTAAGCCCCCTCCTGCCTTCAAAATAACCATGGTTTTCTCCATTAATTCTTATAGAGAACTGGATTGTAGTCACACAAGTCATCACCAATATAATGAATGAATCTGGAAATCCAAGTCCTTTGAGAGCTTCCTCTATGAAATCTCAGTTGATCATATCATATGCCTTTCTTAAATCAGCTTTCATAAGGCACCTAGGAGATGTTTTCCTACTATAATGTCTCAGTAAATCATGGCAGATAAGGACATTATGAATCAAAGATCTACCTTCAACAAAAGCTGCTTGGTTCTCAGCTACTAGTATTGATACAACTTTCTTGAGCCTCTTGCACAACATCTTGGAAACGCATTTGTATATGACATTGCAGCAAGAAATTGGTCTGAATTGACTTTGTTCACAAACCCGCAATAACATAATGATGATTTCTATCAGTTGTTCAGAGAATATAACCCTAAATAAATTGATTATATCTTAATGATCATTTGGATATCCTGATAATGTTAAAAAAAACAAACAAAAAAATTACACTAACGGTATATATAACTTAACCCATCTTGTTATCTGGTCTCCCATGTGATCTCTTATATTTCCATGTGATCAAGTCTTAAATAACCCTCCAATGCTCCCTTTCTCTGGGATTTCCTAAGGAGGTACCGAAATGTTTTGTCAATCATTCGATATTTTTGTAGCCTCAGGTTGTAACATGTACGAAAAGAATTATTGTAATTTTGTAATTTTGTTATTTTTGGGCTGGTAAGTAAAGATTTGGCCACTTGGTAGTTAAAACCTCTCCATCACCATATTTCTCAATTTTCTCCAACGACGAAAACAAAAAAAAACTAGGAAAGGCTGAAATATAATTTTTTTCTCAAAGGTATAATTTATTTATTAGCACTTTATTGACTAGGAAAGGCTCTTTGGCATGTAGGTTTTATTGATTCTCGCCTAGTTGGAAGTCAAAGGTTATAGTTTATTATAATTTTATCTTTTTGTATTAT